ATGTATTAATAGTAGGAATAGATGTATTAATAGTAGGAATAGATGTATTAAATGTAGATGTATTATAGATGTATTAATAGTAGGAATAGATGTATTAAATGTAGATGTATTATAGATGTATTAATAGTAGGAATAGATGTATTAAATGTAGATGTATTATAGATGTATTAAATAATAGTATTAATAAATGTATTAAATGTAGATGTATTAATAGTTGGCTTTGCTTTTCTCTGCAGGTTCGTCAATTCTATCGTGTATTACGGCATATCACTGATCATAGGCGACTTGCCTGGAAACCCGTACCTGGTGTTTGCCTTGATGGGACTCTCGCAGATACCAGTGGATATCATCTCATTCCCCATCATCCAAAGGTAATATTGCATTTACCAAGCCCTGCTCGTTGTAGCCCACTGCGCACCCTGAGATGAAAGACAATAGCACGTTAATGTGTTATTGCTAGAATAAGCAGCTGTTGACAACCCGTCGGATTGGCATGTTCGACCTGCCTTTGAATCAGTATATATATGGAACGTAGTCTAAGAGAGATAGAGAGACACAGATACTGATAAATAGAGACACGGAGTTAAATGAGAGACCGAGAGAGGGCAGATCACGAGAGACAGCCAGGTGGGTTCCAATATGGACGTAACCAAGAATGTACTATATTCCGAGGTATCAACAATCTTTCCAGTACAACAGTAATAACATCCTTGTAACGGCGTGCGATCTTTTGGAGAATTATAGGAATTTAAATAAACGTGAACCGTGCTTTACTAAATATAGTGTAGAGTATAGCTTGATGAAGCTTGCATTCGTGAATAAGGTATGCGCATCGTTAATCTAACGTTTGTTTACAGAGTTGGTCGAATGCCTTCCATTATCGTTTCACACATACTAGGCGGTGTTCTGCTCTTTGTATCTGCATTTCTACCAAGAACCACGAGTAAGTAAATATATACAGCTATGAACAAAAAGCACTGCCTAAATCTATATCACACGGAGGCGCATACATGTGTGCGCGTGAGTATGAGTCTGTGACTGTGTGTCTGTGTGTGCGTGTTGCACGCGCGTGTGTATGAGAGTGCCTGTGCGTGCGTATTGCACGCGCGTGTGTATGAGAGTGCCTGTGTGTTCGTGGGTGCGTGCGTGCACGCGCGTGTGTATGAGAGTGCCTGTGTGTTCGTGTGTGCGTGCGTGCACGCGCGCGTGTACGCGTGCTTATGCCTACGTCTGTAGGCCCTCCCTTTCTTCCCATTAATAAATTACATCTGAATTTATTAGATTTATTAGATTATTTAATGAAAATTAATATCTGATTTTATTGAAATCAGATTAAATGTGGTATACCTCCGTAGAAATCATTAAGACAGGTTCGTGAAGACGTTGATGTATTAATAGAATAAATAATATGGTTAATAGAATTAATATAATTAATTAAATTTAATTAGTTAAATTAATTATAATTAATTAGAATTTATAGGGTTAATAGTATTAGTATGTAATCAGGATCTTCTCATGCGTGTCGCCAGACGTCGGAACCGACATTTCCTGGATCGTCACGACCGTAGCGATGATGGGAACTTCAATACAGTCTTCGTCTATACGGGGGAAGTCTACCCGACAGTTGTAAGGTAAGTTTGTAATCTACCCGACAGTTGTAAGGTAAGTTTGTAATCTACCCGACAGTTGTAAGGTAAGTTTGTAAACAGAGAAAGGAATGAGCCGGGAACAGAAATTGCGAAAGAGGAGGTAAAGGGAAGTCTTTGTTTTTAGAGAGAACATGAGGAAATGGTTAGTGCTGGCGTTAGGGTTAGGGTTCTGTTAAGGTTAGGATCACGGAAGAACTTGTTGGAAAGGATACTGTGAAAGGTAGGACGGGGAGTGCGAACGGTAGGGTGAGTCAGCGAGCCAAATATTGCGATACAGAGATAGCAGAGAGGCAGATTGTTTATAAACGACACCTACACCATGCAATATATGTGAAATGTTGTCTCACATCAAAAAATGATGCGTATACTGTAATGAAGGTTCATGAGATGTTTAGGCAGACGTAGGCAAATAGTATAAAACCGCATGAACGTCTGTAGTAGGAGCGACTACGCGTGTCTAGTGAGTGCATATATAGTTATCACATCTACTCCCCGTTGTCTGACGATGTACTGATGTCTGCTTACAGAAATATCGGCATGGGATTCTGTGCAATCTGCGCCAGAGTTGGAGGCATAGTAGCTCCCTTTCTCATTCACCTGGTAAGACTGTCAGTCACATCAGTTAAGGGTGTTCGTGTTTGGTGACAGTTAGCAATAGACACATAATTAAGGTTATAGCTACTATATTATCAGAAGTACATGATATCAAATATTGATGTCGAGATTTTAATTGAAGCTTTTCAGCTGAATTGAACTGAACTCAATCAACTAAATCAAATCAATGGTATCGTATATTTGATCACGTACTCGTTATACATGTTATATTATATTTGTGGGTATACTTTTGATGG